TTTTGTAATTACCTGTGGACTTTTTATTAGTTTTAATCACGTTTAATCCAGCCCATTGAAATACAATGTTAGAATCTTCAATTTACACCCGCAGTCAATAACTTGCCGCGTTTTCGTTGGCTAACTCTAAGGTAATTTTATGCTCTACTTCTATGATGTGAACAAGTAGCTCATAATAATTTCACAGAGGAAGTCCAAGTATACAATGTATCAATCCTATGTTCACATAAAATAAGGTAGAGTTAGCCAACGAAAACGCGGCAAGTTATTGACTGCGGGTGTAAATTGAAGATTCTAACATTGTATTTCAATGGGGTGGATTAAACGTGATTAAAACTAATAAAAAGACCACAGGTAATTACAAAAACATTTTTATTTCAACAGCTTTGACATAGGTGAAAAAGACAAAGTAAAAAAATGTTTGAAAAATGAAAGTTTCAGGAAGTTACAGGGTGGGGGGGGTATACTACAAAAGTACCGGTGTTTTTGAGTGACAGTGATATAGACAGTGACGATGATATTCCTTTATTTATGATATAAGTTTTATAGATGTTTTTTGTCATAGATGGTGTTAAAATTTGACTTCTATTCAGCCCTGGCCACGAAGTTCAGGTGAGCTGAAAAGCTGGCTCATGTATACCTGATAGCAAAACGAGCATAACTTGGAAATTAATGGAGGTAACTTGCTGAAATTTCCTGGATTGAAAGTTACTTTAATTGACATCATCTCTGTGAATTTTCAGGCAAATGTTTGGAGAAATAAAAAAATTAATGTGCATAATATAAATCAACTTTGTTTTATTTCACCCATTACCAAATGAAAATGTACTTTTTAACCGGCCATAACTCTTGGTACTGCATGTTGAATTTAAATATAATTCTATTTTCATTTAGCTTGAAATATTGGCTTTTTAAAAATGTATACTTTGTATGGGTAATAAGAGCAAACTAACAAATTATGGCCAATTTACTGAGGTAACCCGGCTTTTCAAGGCTAGCTCACAGAATTAATTGGGCACAGCAGAACTTTATGGGTCAGCATTAACTGGGTTCTATGGGGTTAAGTTTCAGACTGTTTATGTGCTATCAAAATCTTGTCCAACTGTAAACCCTGTAAAATTACAAGTACATCGGAATTCTTACCCTATGACACTTACGATTTTATGGTACAAGGTGGTCCAAAATTTGTTTCCATTTTTTTTTTTTTTTTGATAAAGTAGCATTTTCTGTTTAAAGGAAAACTTAACGATTTTTTCATTGATATGTCTTACAGACATGTAAATTTTATGTGGTATATATTTTTCCTCCATTTTGTGAGCACTTACCTATAGTTAATCATGTGTTCAATCTAAGCCCTTGTGGTGTTGCTCCTACTGATGAATAACAGTATACATGTCCACCTCTTAATTTTTTTTTTAATGATAGGCTAATAAAATGGATATATCTTTTTGGACCACCATGTATTTGTCTTAGGAAGACCACTATATAAACATTACTTAATTCCAAAATATACGGCGTATTTTCAATATACCATCTCTTAATCGTATGGTTCATTTGAAGGTAAAGCAAACTGAGAAGATCCAAAACGTACACATTTATTCATGGGTTTACATGTCGCTTTCAAAAATCTCATAGGTTGGTATGCTTCTTGGAGTTGTTTTCATAGGAAAAAAGAGAAGTGCCCTCTGATGGCCACAAATAGTGTTGTTTTCAGTTTTAGTTACGTACATGTAACTTTATTGGGTCACTACGCCCTGTGAGGTATTCTATTAAACATCTAATATATCTGCTATTTGGTAATTATGACGGTCGTGGGCTCAAAAATGTTTCATTTCGATTTTCTGGCTAAATTGTATAATTTCGCACACAAATCACATCTAATCGTAGATACACAAGTTTACTAGGGACTTAAGTGTCTGTCTGAATAAACCCCAAATTCCAAGAAAAGTATAGATTCTCACGTTCAAGACACAGTCGTGCTTCTGGTGTCAGTATGTGAGAATGAAAATATTGGGTTTTCTTCCATCCCTTGCCGTGTACGACGAAAGTAAGAACCAGCACAACACATGCTTCATGTCTGTAATCATACATTGTCGTAATTATTTTTTTCCTATTTCGTTCTCTTTTATAAACATGTTGTGTTGACATATTTGTATGTGTACTGAATGACCTATTAAGTGTACAGCAAATACCTACCCATTCGTTTATGATGGCAATTAAAGAACGTGTGAAGCATTACCGAGTTACTATACAGGATAACAAAGTTATAAAATCCAATTGTAGCAAATGGAGCTGAAATTAACAGGCTTTTGGTATCCTGTGGATGGGGGATTAATGCACCATATATTTGTTTCATATCGTAATTTCTATTGGAATGAGATTTTATTATGATATATTTTATTGTGAAAACGGCAGTTGTATAATTAAAAGATATGCATATTATACAGTCAATAAGTTCACCGGAAAAATTGCTGGTACAGATAAAGCACTTTTGTGTGTTGCTTTATCTCCTCGGCATTTACGTGAATTACAAACAGCTTGCATCAAGGTATTTGGCCTCCATGAACGTTTCACGGTAATAAACGTACAGAATAAGTGATAACATCAAGAAATATAGAACGTTACATGCATGCTTCGAAAGATGGTATAGGAACAACTTTCGGAAATTCGAGCTGGTGAGTGCAGTAATTTTAATTACTTAAAAGTACATTATGTAATTAATCTGGCCTGTATCTGAAACTTACGACTCGTTCCCAATGAAATTATATATCAGATAAACACGCCACCACCTGGCGATGAGTAGAATACAGGAAAGCTGGCGGTCATGCGAGTAAGTTGGAAACAAGAGGAAGCGTGTTAATTAGGTAATCTGATTGCATTCAGCGAGAGTCCCGCGGAGTTGGATCGATCTACATAGCACGATACACTTACTTTTATTGGAAATGGGTCCTTTTAAACGCTAATAATTTATGCCAGTTGTATAGAATGTTGGCATAAACAACATTGTATATCAACGCAATAAAGGGACTATCTGTCAGATAATAACAGATAAACACGGCTCCCCTAGCGTTGTGTAGAATACGTATGTTAATTCATCTTCCTTTTCTGACTTTTTTAAATGAGCAATTTCTGCACCACATATTTTATAAGATCTGGACCATTTTTCTTGTTTCTGTGAGTATGATAGTGATGTGTCACACGAATGATATTTCCTCAGACAAGGTATTATTTTTCTTTGAGACAATCATGCATAAATATTGCACATGAAAAAGTACTTCTTTAATGTCTTTAAAACCTTCACTTTGCTTTTAACTTCAAAAGCCTTCAATCAGATTTTCAGTTTTTGATACAGTCAAAGAATAACCCACACCATTTGCTTGCAAAGGGTTTTGTCTGACATTTATGACGCCAAAAGGAAGCCTTACTATCTTTTACGTTCACTCCTGTGCTTATTGCTGTCACTTGGTTTTAATGCACTTCACTTCACGTGATTTACTTTGAGTCCGATAAAATTTCTGGTACATTTCTTTTTCTACTAATTGGCTCATTCAAATGAATAGTTTTACCGAATGCCATCATCACACGCTATTGTATATTCTACAATGTGTAATTCAACTAAACATAGGTATAACATTTCATTAACCATGTATTAGGATACGTGACATAGGCTTTAATCATGTACGTTACACTAGGCGTCTTTTCATCAATTATATACATATACTATTACGGTTAGAAAACATGTTTTTATTGCGCCTTTTGTCATTTTAGAGGAAGCGAAGGCTTCCCACGCAAAATCTAAAATGCCAACTTCCATAATACTGTTCGTAAAACGATTCCAGTTATCCAATTTTATCAATGCACATGTAATAATTTAAAGTGACGCACATCTTAGATTTTGTATAAATGTAGCATGGAACACGAATGTAATACAATTCTTGGAATATTATTAAAGTTCTTTATTGATGACCAATCTGCTGACTTTGACAATGAACCCGCTTCGTTTACGGATGATTCATTGGTACAATAACATGACTGACAATTGGCTCACCCATTTGAGAAAAACAGAGTAAATTGGCAGCCAATATTATGATTATCTACGTGTACTAGAGTTGTAAACATCCTTCTTCCTGTCAGGGCGAGGACTCCAGACGATGACTTGTCCTGAATTCCTATGTGAAGCTCGACTTTATGATATGAGATCAATCATAAATGTTGAGACTGACACTGGATAAAATGATACCGTTTGTACGTGTAATTGACAGAACATGCTGAGAGTTGCTTTCCTTATGTAAATCCACTCCCCGGAGAGTTCTTTTTGGTTTGCCAATTACAATGTTTTCGAATTTCTAGACAGATGGAAGCTTTGTCTGACATGTAATGATTTTTGGGGATGAGTCCCCGTTGAAGTAAGGCTTATCGAGGACAACACATATCTGACTGAAGGTATTTCAAATTTTACCTTTGTTGAGTCGAATAGCTCACTTTACAACAGCAAAGGTGATAATTATAAAACACAAAGCTGGGATGTTTCGATACGATTAACCTGGCCCCGTAACTCGAAAGCATCGCACATTGCGACCGAACGCAAGCATCTGGATTCCAAAACTCGCCCATACTCGCCCCATATAATACACTGTACAGCCTCTATGTAATATCGCTATTCGCAATCCGTGATGCTTTCGAGTTCCTATACGGGGCCCTAGACCTAAGCCTTCATCAGACTGATGTGAGTAGATGCTGTTACTCACTGACTGCTAAGTGCTACAGCGGCTAATATTGCCTCTTTTGTTTTATAATTATCAAATATGATCCCACTACCAAGTTAATAAACCATTTTGCTCAAAAGCAAAATTGTAGTATTGAATGAGTAAGAATGAAATATAATAATACAATAAAATTCAACAGGTTAATGTATGAATAAACATAGCCTGAGATAAAACATGACAGGTATAGTTTCGAAAAAGAGTGTATTAGCAAAATGCAATGTGTATTCATCTGAGTTACAGCTCTTCCCAACAATGTTTAGGGCTCTGATATTTGGTTTTCTCCCCCCCCCCCCAATAAATTCCCTCTCCGCTTACACTTACACGTTCGTCACGGAAGCCGTTAAAGAGTTACCTTCACAAGAGCACAGCTCTTCTAGGAAATGTGATCAATAGCTTTGAAACCGAAGCAATTTCTTGACTGACAACAATTTGGCGGGATAATAAAACACGCAAATACAAACAGGATCCTCACCTCAGGCGTGACACTCAGCTCTTTGTTGAACCAAACAAAAAAGCACTGTTAATCGATACTAGCGCTTTGACAAATGTTAACTAGCTGAGAAGATTCTCGGTAAAATGAAAGGATAAGGTTCCATGCACCATGAATAAGGATAACTTTTGCGTATAACAGTGAGGCCAAAAAGCCCTACCTAAATGTTCACCCTAAGCATTTAAAGATACCATACTAAATATATTGTTTAAATTTGATTTTGTCACAAAGGATTTCAAGCTCAAAACATAGATGTGTTTATGATGTAACTTATATTATCAGTAAATGTCAGCACACATTATGACTGAATCCACTCTAGTATGTAACAAACTTTTACTAGCACTCGAACCCTATTTAAAATCCTTAAAATATGAAAAAGACACAATAGAGTTTAGGGTTACTTTTATTGCCGTTGATTAAAATTCTGTTAGGCCATTTTGTCCGAAATTTGAAAAAAAAATCATACATTTGCCAACCTAAATAATTGTCGGGGAATAAATATTTCAGATTCGTACTTAGCATCACATTCTGTCCCGTATAGGACCTGTTAATAAGAAGATTGGGCTAAGTCTGCCCTGTACATAAAGGTAGTTAGAAATCTTTTGTCCGATTTTCCAAAACTGGTTGTACCGATCCACTTAATACTCCCAGATTATATTCCTTACCAGAAGTATATTTTCTGGCTTATTTTGTCCACGAACTAACACCTGTACTCCCAAAATTTTCCATGGAAGCTATATCGCCCAAGAAATCATAGCAGTAGTATAATACCCTATACAAAAAAAAAAAAAAAAAACAAAGTACTTTTTAGTCCTGTTGATGTCATTTTAAAATCTGTTATCATTGCTGCAGCTGGCAGGTAAACGAAATGATATACCTATAGGGTGATTTGTAAATTCAGGCCGCCTAATGAATTTCATTTCCGCATCGTTATGATGGATGGAGAGAAAGGGAAAAAGTATCAAGAAAGCAATTGCAGCAATGACAATGGTTCATAAAATGAGACCGTGATTATAGTATGCCTCCTGTTGTAATAGCGCATCTTACAGAACAATTGGCTCATCTTGACCGTGTGAGTTCGCTTTCTTGGTTTTTAAAATCACTGTACCTTTTTCTGATATTTGATATTAGCTTAAAAACATTTTCTTGTTCAGAACCCAAACGGAAATAAAAACAGTTGCGTTACTGTTGAAGGCTGATTGGATACAAAGTGAAGGTGACCGCATGGTGTCCTTCAGCTGGTATTTTTCTCTCCTACCTTCCTCTCTCTCTCTCTCTCTCTCTCTCTCTCTCTCTCTCTCTCTCTCCTTCACACACACACACACACACACACACACACACACACACACTAGTGAAAACCAGCCAACAGATCACAAAACAAAGCCACCTATTGCCATAAGACATAAGCCTGAACGCAAACGCCAGTTACAGATATCTTTATATGCTTTCTCAAAACTTGCTGACTTTTGCCAGATATCTGGCGGCTGCTTCTGTGAAACATCGTAAAGCACCCGATGGGTACCCTAACAGCGGCTTTGAAAAAATATTAAGGAATGAAGACGAATCTTAGATGTTCCTTAAAAGAAAAGCCAATGGATCTTATTTTTACTCGTATGGCCTACTCTTGGCTGTGAGTTATATCACGTTGCATCGACAAAAAGGCTAAAGGAACTTTTATAATCGAATGGCAAGAATCAATACTTCATCGGACATGTTGCAAAATAATCTAGCAATTAAATTACTTTGAAAACATAAGAAACGACGCCCCCTGAGTTTTATTTTTGTTCTTGAATGAAGATGGATGAAAACAAGTCAATGATTCATCATTGATGATTACGTTAGGTGTACTGTACAAAAACTTGTATTTGGACAATTGCTAGTTGTTTAAATTATTACATTGCAGCCTTAATGTACAGTTTTGGTGGATGTCACGGGTTTACAGTATTATCAATTCAAAGTTTTANTAACAAACTTAAATCTTAGAAAATGAATACGTAAAACTCAAACCATTCTTATGAATCAAAGGTCAACCTTTTCAAATGAAAACCAAAATTTTAAATAAAAAAATCTAACCTGGCACTGGGCATGCTCCAGATTTGATAGCATAGTCGTCAATGGCAATATCTCCTTGGTAACCAGTCCCTCTCACTCCTTCAAACACTACCTGAAAGAGCCTGTTTTGAGGAGGGATGCTGGCGGATGCTATATACCACTTGTTTCCTTGGTCACCTGAAAGATAAACCAAATCCAACTCAATGCATTCAATCCATAATATCCCATTCAATCCATAACTCAGAAACAGGTATTCTAAATCCAGCTCACATCTTCTAAATAAGCTACAGGTGTTGAAATGGTCAAACAAAACTGTACTCTGATTAATGAAGCTATTCAATTAAACCAGACTTCTTTCCTACATACCTGTCTCTGACCATATCTTTGCTGTGACAGCTCCCACCTTCAGGTAGACATTGAGTGTTCCAATGTTCCTGCCGAACATGTGGTACCAGAACTGAAGGCACTGGTACTGTGTTGTGGTGGAATACACAGGTGATACTAGTTGTGCTTTGTCACCATTTCTCCTTGGACTGGAAGCCTCCACATACATATAATAGCCTAAAAAAGGGCATTTGACAAACAATAAATCAAAATGTAAGCTAGAGCATTTATGTACCTTCTATTTATTAAAATGCGACATCTTTGACTATATTTTATTTCATATATACCATGCATAAAATGTCAAAAAATCTTTCATGAACTTATAAAAATTGTTTAGTTCTCTGGGAAAACAAGAAGTAGGAAACTTTTACACAAGTGGAGTATAAAACCATTTTCAATCAACCATCATGCAGCTTTAAACTTCATTAGAAAAACATTCAAATAAAAGACAAGAAGTAAGAAAATGACCCAAGATACCTTGGTCAGTGTTATAAGTGTGGTCAGTGTTTGGTCCAGTTCCTCCAGAGCTGGTTTTTCCTTTGGCCCTTGTCCAGTCAAACTGGTCACCAGTAGTGACCTGTGAAAAGCCACACACAGTGGGGTTCTCAAAGTCACACACAGTGGCTGGGGCACGGGTGCCACCTGGGGTAGCAGTGGAGCCTGTAGACAAAATACAGAGACTTGGTTTGAAATCATGGAATGAGAGAGATAAAAAGATATGGTCAATGATTATAGAATCATGAGTGAAAATTTTTCAAAAATTGCATACGCCTTATATATCGAATTTACTTGTGGGTAAACATAATAAACAAAATTGACCAAAAAACATTCAAAGACTTGAACACTGAAGTATCACATTTTTGTTATGCTCACATTATATATGTAACAATTACAAAATATCATCTCACCTTGTTGACAGTATCCAGGTTTGATATCAATGTCATCTAAAGATATGTCCCCTGCATATCCTATACCACGTACACCCTCAAAGACAATCTGAATAAAAAAAATCAGGGAAATTACAATTAAAGGGCAATTTAGCTATGACAACAGTTGCTTTTTTCAATATTGATTATTCCCCACGCTTTATTGTGCAAGCATTTCATAACATTATGAAATGTCACAAATAAAGAACATAACATAGGTAATACTGATGATATTTAGAGCACTGCCAACAGCAGCATCAATGTCTCCATGTACATTACAGAAATTAAATGAAAGTCATTACTGAGAAAAAAATTACAAGCCCTGAAAATTCTGAAAGTAGAACATTCACAAATACAGACGCACCTTCAAATTTAACTCACAGAAAATAATGCGATATTAAAAAAAAAACATTCACTTACATTGAAAGCAACTTTTGCATTGACATCCACTTGTGCCCGCCTCCACACATTGCCCTGAGTGGTATTCTTGCTCCACACTGGGGAGCCTAGGTTAAGCCTGGTTTGGACATACACATTAAGGGTGTCCACATGCTGACCATACATGTGGTACCAGAAGGTCAAGCACTGGACGGAGCCAGAATACTGGACAATTGGACTGACCAGCCTGGCCTTATTGCCTGGAGCTACAGGACTTGCCTCAATGTATACATAGAAGCCAGCTGTGAAGAAACACATAAAAAATTCATTTTCAATTGACTTACAAATCCCTTTCACATTAACAATGCAAAGTCCTTGTCTTTCAAATATTTAGCATTGATCTTTAAAAAAATCCAATTAACAAAGTTACAAAAAATGTCATTCAAATATTAAATAAAAATACAGCTAAAACAAATGAATTGATTTCTAAATGACTAAAAATGTATAAGAAAAAAAACAATAATCAACATGATAATCTAAAATTAAAACTTTAAATTCTCTGCCCTCACCTCCAGTTCCCATGGTGTGGTCAGTGGACGGTCCAGTGTTGGTTGAGGAGGTTGGACCATTCTGTCTTGTCCAGTCAAATTGGTCTTTGGTATCCTGAGTCCAGCCACAGAAATCTTTCTCAAAGTTGCAGGTGAAAGCTCCCGGTACAGGCGTAGTGGTGCTGACCTTGCTTGGAGTTGTGGTAGTAATGGTGGTTTGAGGGGGTGGCGTGGCTGCTGCTGGGACCACTGGAATATATTTATTCTCAATGTGACAAATGATGAGTATGATAATATTCAGCTGATTTTTTTTCTGAACAAGAAAGTTTGTTATTCAAAAAAAAAAAAAAAAATACTCAAGTACTTTTTGTTTAACTGACCACATTAATACACAACCACATATATATTTATAATTCAAAATATCTTTCTGTTTTGTAAATAACAAATATAGTATATGGAACCCCTGAAGAAGCAATAAAATATAAACTTTAACTTTCTGCATATACTCCTGAACCTGGCAACTTCTACATGTATTATCAGTGTTACTCACATCCACAATTAGAATCAGAGAAGCCCACATCATCAATGGCAATATCTCCCTGAAAGCCTGTGCCACGGATGCCTTCAAACACTATGGAGTGGACCTGGGAGCTGGTGAATGGTGCCTGGGCACTAATCCACTTGTCTCCGTTATTATTGTTCATGGTCCAGATAATAGTGTTGCTCAAGCCCTGGCGGAGCTTAACGTTGAGTGTGCCAATGTTTGCACCATACATGTGAACCCAGAAAGTGACACAACGTGGTCCTGATGCAGGTGGGAAGCTCTGGCTGATCAACAGAGCTGTGTCACCCCTGACTCTGGGATTGGAGGCCTCAATGTACATGTACTTGCCTAAAAATTACATATTGGACAGAGGATTTACAGATACATTTAACATTACATTAGTTACATTCAATAGACTCATAAGAATAGCACAGTCAATCAATATGAAATTGCTATCAGAAAAATCTTTCAATCCATCTTAATCATATGAATAAAATGTTATTTGAATATAATGAAATATTTAAAAACATTTCAATATCATTTAAGTTAACATACTTTCCAACTCTCATAAACACAAACAAAAAAGAAAAGAAATTGTTTGTTTAAATATATTTTTCTTTTTCAAAACAAATCAAATCCCACCTGCAGCTGTTCCAAGTGTGTGGTCAATAGTTGGTCCAGTCCCTGAGCTGGATGTTCCCCCATTGCCCTGTGTCCAGTCAAACTGGTCACCAGCCTGAACATTGGTCCAGGTACACAGGCCAGTCTCAAAGTCACAGGCTCCAGGGTTGGTGCAGGCCCCCTTTGTCATACTTATGTCATCAATAGCTATGTCTCCTCTGTAGTTGCTGCCACGGATGCCTTCAAACACAAGCTATGGTAAAAGGAACAAGGAATGATGTGATATTAATTTCTAAGAATTATACTAGAAGGTTTACTTATTCTTTTTGTAATAAAAAAATCCAATGTTTGCTTGATGAATTATACTAAAAGGTTTACATTCTTTTTGTGAAAAAAGAATCTGATGTTTGCTTAATGCTTTGTACACCATATAGAAAAATTTTAGACATGACATGCTTTTTATTGCTTTTTATTCATAAATATGTTTTCTGGACTTGTGTGCACTAAAATACCTGGTAGCCTCTCCTTGCTGCTGCAGCAGGTATGGTAGCCTGCCCCACTTGCCACTTGTTGCCTTGGTCTCCTTTCATACTGAACACTGCACCACCTAGGGCTTGGTTCACCTATATTACCACACAATATTACAGTCAAGCTTGAAACTTAGAATGAAAAAACCTGTTGTTGTAGGAATTACAATTGTGTCCATTAACTATGACACTACTGGACATGGAGCACATGTCTATTTCTAATTTCCGAGTCAAAAGACATTTTACATTCAGAGTTTAATCTTTCTGATACCAATTCAATGTTATTCAATCATGTTACATCAATCAACTTTACTTTTTTGTTCTTCAACAAAGATTCTGCTAACTTTCAGTACCTTTGCATAGACATTAAGTGTCCCAATATCTTGTCCATACATATGGTAGTAAAACTGCAGGCACATGGCTTGGTTGTCTTTGTACTTTGGAGAAGTCAGGCGTGCTATGTCATTCACTTTCCTAGGGGCTGACACCTCAATGTACATGTATTCACCTGGAATTTATCAAATAAATGCTTATATCATCTCATTTCAGGAAGTGACATACATCTTTAATTGCTGTGACAGAAGATTGCACATAACCATCTTCCTCCATTAACATTTTTTTTATTCTAGGGTGTCTTGCAAAAATACTTTTAGACAAAAAAATTTCAAAATAAATTAAAGGTGCAGTAGTTAATTGGACATCTCTGTTCGTCTATAATACCAGACCCTTTCTGATTGAATTGTAATAAAACACACACAATAAACAATAAAAAAATTTGGCTGTTTGTAAAATTTTCACCAAGTATGAATTCAAAATATAGATATTACCAAAATCAAAAGAGGTCATTTTCAATTAAATGCATTTCTAAGCCCCAATTACTGACAAAATACCTTGTGGTGTTCCATAGGTGTGGTCATTAGAAGGTCCAGTGTTTCCAGATGATGTGGCACCACTGGCCCTTGTCCAGTCAAACTGGTCACCAGTCTTGTCCTGGGTGTAGCCACATATCTTGGCATCTTCAAAATCACAGGATCTGGAGGAGGCTGGCGTAGTGGCTGAAACATAATGAAGCAGATGTTTATCAAACAACCAAAAAAATTTTGACATAGTGTAAAATGATAAATCGGAGGTGTATTTGTCGTTATTGAAAGAATTCAGCTATGACAATAATATTTGTCAAAATCTTTGGTGAACAATATAATTGGTATTTTAGAACATAAACAAAATACCACAACTGACTGGTAATGATAAAAGAAGTCAATCATTTTGTTATAAATAAAGACGAATATTTTTGAAAAGTTTTAAAACTTACATTGGCAGTTTCCAGTAGACACAGTGACATCATCTAATGCAATGTCACCACGGAAACCTGTTCCAATCAAGCCTTCAAACACCACCTGGAATTGAAGATGTGTCCTTTTAATATATATTTATATATCACACTTCAACAGGCACTTCCTTCTTAAAGATATCAATGATCATACAAGTAGCTCTTTTTTTTCACCCAATTAACATGTATCTAAATCTTCTGTTTTAATTACATATAATATTCAAATGCTGTTTTATTTTAAAACTGATTCATCCCTAAAAATATTTTGCCACCAAAGGAATCTAAGTAAGCACTCACAGTGAATGCTCTATTCCTGGAATTCAGAGTGACATTGGCTTGGATCCACTTGTTGCCAAGGGAACCACTCTTAGTGAACAAGGGTCTTCCCAGGTTGGGTCTGTTCTTCATATACACATTCAGTGTTCCGATTTGGTCACCATACATGTGGTACCAGAAACGCAAGCAGTGTCCGGTAGTGGAGGCAGGAACCTGTGGTGTCTCTATCATGGAGGTCTTGTTTTGCGTCTTGCCTGATGCTTCGATGTAGATGTAGTACCCATCTATTTGAAAATGAAAATATATAAACTGGTTGTTACTTGGGTTAACGAAAAAAAAAAAACTCAGATTAGTGAAACTGCACAGACTAGTATCACTTTGTGGTGCCTGTCTTTAACTGAGACTGATGTAAAGGCTTGTATTATCACTTCTGACAATAATCCATGTCTCAAGAACAAAATTTTTCATCATTACTGTTTGTAACTCTCCTGAATAGATTTCTTTTTTAGATACCTTTACCAACGAAACTAAATATGGATAGTGTCATAACGAAAAACATTTCCAAATTTTATTACTGTTTCAAACGCAAAAAATTAGAATCATCAATGTTTCCAAATTGTAAACCCAAATATCACAGCATATTGTGCTGTACTCACTTCCTGTGTGGTCTTGTGTAGGTCCAGTATTTCTGCTGGATGTGGCTCCTCTGTTTCTCAGCCAATCAAAGTTGTCCTTAGTTGAATGTGTCCAGCCACAGAACCCATTGTCAAAGTTACAGTTAACAGTGGCAGCTTTGTAAAATAAGAAAAATAATAATAAATATATAAAAATTCATTAGTACTGCATGGTACTCATTTGAAGCAGTGTCTTTCTCGTGTTTCTGTCATACATGTATTATAGAAATTAGTTGATCTATTCAATTATAAATGTATCTACAGTAGAAAATATGTTGTATATATTCAATTATAAATGTATCTACAGCAAAAGACATTTTGTATATGTGAAATATAATATAAAAAGATTTTAGCTGAATTTAGAGCAGACAAATTTTAAGTAGACATCGATATTATATATATTTTATGTTTTTCTGGCATCATGAAGGTGCCACTCAAACAGAAATAGACATACCTGAAGGTGTGGTAGTACCAGATCCCGTTGAAGGAGTGGTGGGTGTGGCCTTAGTTGGCACTGTTACAGTTGTGGCTGTAGAGGGGGTGGCCTTTCCAGGTTGTACTGAAATAACATAAAGGTCTTTAACTAAACTATTCTTTATCACTGTCATTTACAGAAATAAAATATATTCTCTACTCTCATATGAAAAAAAAAGCAGTGCCTGAAGCAAATGTACTACTTACATCGACAGGTTCTGTATGAGATTTGGATATCATCTAGAGCAATATCTCCTTGGTAACCTTGGCCAACGATGCCTTCTATGGTAAGCTAAAGTGAAGATTGAGAAATAATAACAAATATTATAATAAGTCTGTAACATAGGTATCTAAGGTAAATAGTACTGGTTCATAATGCAATACGGTATTTAATTAACTGGATAGGTTTTATCATCTGATACTATTTTTGACAATTTTGCCATTAATTATCTCTAAAAAACAACATCTCTAAAAAATTGGGTAAACCTTTAATTAACAAATTATATACAATGAGAATTAAAATTGCACTTTCCTTGCTTTCACTGATGAAAAAAATTTCAATGCCCTAATACACTAGAATTTTTCATTATATTAAAGGGAAATCAGTTATCTATATGATTGAAAAATATATAGAGCAACAACTAAAACATTATCAGAATTGCATTCAGTGGGTCTTTTGTCTTTTATAATAACCTTGACATCTCACTAGACAAGGTTTTGAACTTGGAACAAGGGGGCGAGGCTCTGATGATATGGCCTGTACTGCCACTAATGATAAGCATAAGTGATCCACTTATTAGAGAGAGATAAAGCTGAGGGGATAGACTGGAAGCAGGCAATGTTATCCAAACATGCTTGATAAGGAACAATGTCCAGTCTGCCCTAAGTCTATCCCCACCTCCCTCTGCATAAACTGGAAGCAATTTTTATTACAGCTTTAATCTCCTTTTTCCTTAATTCAATTTTATATCTATTCATTATTATTATTATTATTATTATTGCAAAGTTTATTTTGCACTGTTATTTTGCACATTAAATAACCGCTGGATATTTACTACTTAATATGTAAACAAACCTACATAACATTATTCAACAAGCTTTTGTGAAAGGCAACCCCAGAATACTGTAAACTGTTTTTTCTCTAAATAATTTGGTGCCCACAAAAAAATTTAAAAATAAATAAATAAATACCACTTGGGCTCACCTTGTATGCACTTTTCTGTGGGGCAATGGGGACAGATGCCTGTTTCCAGCTGTTGCTTTGGTTCCCACTCAGCTGCCACAGTGAGCTATCCAGTCCATTGACTGACTGGGATACCCTGAGTGTCCCCACATGGTTTCCCAGCATGTGGAACCAGAACCTGAGGCATCTAGCATTGGCATGCGAGTTGAAACTCTGGCTTGAGAATACTGCACGATCTCCAGGCCGTCGGGGGCTGCTGGCCTCAATAAAAACATAGTATCCTGAAATTTAAAAAAAGAATAATATTTATCATATCTGTTTTATATTTAACATTCTTCATCAAAACAAAGTCTTTTAATATCTTAAAGTCAAAAATAATTTTGTAATGGGCATTCTTACCATAATTTATCATTGTTGTTCTCATTATTATTATCATTAACAGCTTTAATAATTTTCATAGGTCTTTAAAAACAAACACAGTCAGATATGAATCTCATTTCCCATCCCCAAGCCTTACCCACTGCTGTGCCCTTGGTGTGGTCAACACTAGGCCCTGTTCCCTGTGAAGGGGTAACTCCCTGTCTTCTGATCCAGTCAAAGTCATCACTGGCTCCATTGGACCATGTGCATGTATCAGTCTCAAAGTCGCATGAACCTGAGAGTGCCAAGAAAATAAGGGATGTTTTTTGTACCTTTCAAATATTAAATCCTTGTGCATGTGCCATTTCAGCATGCTTCAGTGCATATAGTCATTGTTTTGCAAAAGACATGAAAAACAACTCAAAAGACAGACCAGGAGAGTTAATATATTTGGTAAACGTTCAAGTCTATGTATAAATATTACAGCTGAAAACATGCTTTATGCACATATGCAACAAAACACAAGTTCCCAAATTAATTTTACCTGTCTACAACCTGCCTAATATTTTGAACTGGCTTATGCCCCTCTATTAAGCTGAATTTATATAGGAACAAAGTTGGAGGCCTTGTCCTAATTCTTGCTCCTATAACCACAGATAACCCTCCCCCTACATGATTTTCTATTATATAGTGCTACTCCCCCCTACACTCCCTAGCTAATTGCTCTATTTCAATCTAGCCCACATACTGGCATTTCATCTTTGCAAATATTTCTAATCGCACATTTTATCTCCAAGAGTCAACAACAGCTACTAGAGCTAAATCTAAATCCTACTGCTGTTATCATGATAATAATAACATTAATTTTAAGATCAACCTATTTAAATATCTCAAAAATCTGCATTAAGATTCCCTCTGTCTTTCAATATCTAAAATAATACAGATATATTTAATTTATCTTTCAAATATGTTTGCATTCACTGATCTTATCAATCCAGAGGAATTTTAGTTTAGTCTTAGGGTGCATTCCCAGAGATTTAGATCAATCCAGAGATTTAGATCTAGATCGACCTAACTCCCTGGGGGTTCACACTAAATTGCAGTCAGCGGAGCGCGCACCATAGTTAATTGCACCCTTACAGCTTTTAGTAGGCGGGACAGACGCTTAAGCTGGCTAAGCTGACAGTAATATAGTGAGACTCCCCACAGGGATAGATCGATCTAAAATCTATGGGAATGGGGTCTTAGTTTACTTAAAGCAAAATCTGGATTAAGTTTTCAAATCAGAGATAAAAGATCCAAAACAGAATATTTTTAAAGTAACAGAATCATTGAAATTTAATCTTTCACAACAAAAAAATTAATTAAAAAATCATTGGAGTTTTAGACTAGATTATGGTCTTATACAAGATAACCTAGGAGTACTAGCGCTCTTTATAATCAATTAATTGTCCCCAAATGCAACTGAATGATAAGAACTCCATTTGGAGAGTTTCAGTTATTTTCTGGAATGTAACAGGAAGTTAATTGAAAATTTCAAATGAAATTAAATATATCCTTAACACTAAACGTTAAGCTAATGTTGTGCAGTTCCTTATAGGCTTTCATGCTCATATATCACATACCTGCTGTAGCACATGCTCCATTGCTGAGTTTGAAGTCATCGATGGCTATATCTCCAGCATAGTTTGTTCCCCTTATAGCTTCAAACACTACCTGAAAGATATCCAGGGGGCGGATAATGATGTTATCTTGTCCGAGGTGTCATCATCTATGATCATGTAAAGTACAAAGATCAGGGGGAGGACCACAGATCAACCAGTACGCATGCTGGAGGATCAACGGGTTTATCTGCTATGATGACAGAAGTTATTAACTCATATGTTGTAGAGCAGTTGGTAAATACAAGGCACCTGGGAGATTAATGTCAGATTGTTTTTCTGATTGGCTTAGATGTTCTAAGACTCAAATCACAGTAATTCAGATATATATATAATTCTTTAATGCAGTGACTTCATTATTTAGCCTTTTTTTGCCAACAATTTTGAATATTCAAATTGATAATTCAGTCATTTCAGCATTTTTACAATGATTATGAACATTTTGTGGCATATGTCAATGGCGGATTTAAAGGGGGTGTCAGGGGGGTCCTGACCCCCCCCCCCCTCTTCAATTTCTGTAAAAAATCACACCAAAAGACCCCTCTTGAAATTAGAATTTTGACTAGCTGAATCATAGTACCAAATGGCACCATTCAATAAAATACCCAAATTTTCTGATGCTCTTCAGCAGGCCCCAAACCCCAAACCAAGGGGAGGGGGGGGAGAAGAAGGTTGGCTTCGCATCCGCAGCCTGGATCTGCCCTTGTATGTGCAGCAAATAAATTGAGACTGAGTTGGATTTAGGGAGCTTTTTACATACAGGTTCTTGGGAGGGGGTTGTCAATCATCATTACAAAAAAAGAAAAAACATAATGAATGGAGTTAATACAGTACATCTTTATGACTGTAAAAAGAATAAACACAATATACAAGTCTATGCCAGTAAAATAATATTCATCAATCAGCATTAAAAACAGAAAACCTCTCTTGGTACATCAAGAAGTCAGGAAATACTAAGAACTTATCCCCCTAAGACTACATGCACTAGTTTGTATGTCATTTGTGGAAGGATTTACTATCATCAATCTACGACAAAAACTTACTTGGAATGGTGTCCTTGCATTAACTGTAACCCGGGCAATATTCCAGGCATCGCCCTGGTCAGCAGACTTCGTCCAGATGGGATAACCTAAATTATTCCCCCGCTTGGAGTAGACATTCAATGTCCCAATGTGTTGACCGTACATGTGATACCAAAATTCCAGGCATTGCCGACCCTTGACTTGAAACCTCGGCGTTGAAATTCGTGCTGTATCGTTAACAACACGAGGGGAAGACGTTTCGATATAGATGTAATAGCCTGCAAAGAAACAAAAATGCTTTTAATAACGTGAATTCCCTAGTGATATTCGCATCTACATGTATCACCGCCGTAGCATCGATGTACAATCGAGCACATTTTCAAAAAGTGTACACTGGCTCTCGTTTTCACTGGTCCGTTTTCACCAAAATGAGACTGGTTGAAAGTTGCTCAAGACTTAGGCTTCGTTCACATGCAATGTCTATTTTCTAAAAATCTATTTTCTATTCGCGCTATCTTATGATCACGGTCTGTGCCCTGAATATCCCGCCGCGTAATTACTGGCAGCGCGAGCCAGTTACTTATAGTAACTTATAGTAACTGGCTCGCGCTGCCAGTAATTACGCCGCGGGATATTCAGGGCACAGACCGTGATCATAAGACATACCGCAAATAGAAAATAGAATTTAGAAAATAGACATTGCATGTGAACGAAGCCTTAAACACTTTTTTGCTTCGTTATATATATATATATATATATATATATATATATATATATATATATATATATATATATATACATATATATGTTTTAAAACAAGTTCAAATAAAGCCACCTAGTCAGAAATAATTAGGTTATCGATATTAGACAACACCAATTAATTGAAAAAGTACAAGGGTCTTGCAATTGATTCTACCGGCGCACAAAATCGTTGTAAATTTTCATTCAGAATCATCAAATTATCAGTGTATTTATTTTATTTATTGAAAAAGTGGTTTATTCACATCTGTTCCCATGAAGGTATTTGAAAATTTATGAATGTCATATTTTGGCAAAATACACCCCCCCCCCCCCCCAGTTTCTTATATCTAATAAAAGTTCCGCCAAACATTAATATTCAATGAATTAGTCGCTTTGCAAATTGATGTTAAATTGTAATCAGTTCCCTAACATAGTAACCAAGTAATCATGAAAATGGGCGTGTCTGACTAATTTGTGAACAACAATTCGTGCCCTCGTTTGGCTTTAAGTATTTTTTTGGGTAGGCCTATCCAGGGGCGGATTTAGGCCGTCTTCTGGGTCTTCTGGAAGACGGTCAGATTTTCAAGTTTACCTTGACGGGTATCTATTTTTTTTCTGTTGGAAGACGGTCAGAATTGGAGGATGAATCAACAAAGATAATTTGGAAGACTGTCATTAAATAGCTCTGGATCCGCCCCTGCTATCGAACAAGAAATTTTTACAATATTTACCTAGGCCAGTCTTATACGTGTGATCAGTGGATGGGCCAGTGGTGCCCGAGGGAGTGGCTCCCTGCTGTCTGGTCCAATCAAAGTTATCTTTAGTATCCTGTGTCCATCCGCACAGTCCACTCTCAAAGTTGCACTGGGTAAGTACAGGGGCTGGTGTAGTGCCTCCAGGAACCGCAGTGCCAGTAGGACGAATTGTACCTAGAACAATTAGAATAGTCAAAGCGTTTTAATTGACCAAAGGTAAAATTGTATAATTTCATTGACCTATTTTAATAAAATCGTACATTTTGAAAGTTTTTTGGTGTAAAGGAGTTTGGTATAAGTTTGTAATACAAGGGTTTTATCTAATATATCAAATTATAACAATAGTCAGATTTTAGAATGCAACAAAATAATTAGGATACATAGGGGCCTAACTTGATTATCTTAACAAATGGCATGCTGTTCAACTTATACATAATGAAGAACTCGTTCTTTCTTGAATTAAAATTTAAAATTGAAAATATGCAAAGTAAAAAAAAGTGCAACTCACTTCCTGACGGGCAATTTCCAGGGAATGACTTAATGTCATCTATGGCTATGTCACCTTGGTAACCACTTCCACGAATTCCCTCAAAGATGACCTACAAAAAGTGAACATTTCTGTAATGTTAAGATTTCTCATTTTTATCTGGGTTTTATTAAACAATTTATAATAGGCCTACTTCAACGAAAGAGCTCCGAGCTTGCAATATTAATAATTGTAGATAATTGCAGATAATTGTTTGTTTGTTTGTTTGTTTGTTTGTTTGTTTTTCGTAATTATGGTGCCAATTCATATAATGAATCAATGTGGTTCTGATATTTTGATATATTGCACAAAGGATAATAATTGTTATTTTCTAAAAGCCATGACTTCCCCGTAGGCTACTAAAGAGTTGCAAACGCGTGCTGTTCCTTCCACACAAACATACGCGCAGCCTATTCTCCATTGCCACGAAGCTGTAAAAAATTAACTTAATTTAATTTGAAATATTTGACTCGTGTATACCTGAAAGTTGCTTTTCCGTGGGAGATTGATGTTAGCCTGTATCCACCGATTTCCTTGGGTCCCGCGCCGGGTCCAAATGGCCTTGCCAAGTGCGTTGTTCGACTTTAAGTACACGTTTAAGTCGTACACGTGCTGACCGTACATGTGGTACCAAAACTGTAGACACTGGGTCTGCGTCGTGGACATGGTTGTGCTAACAAGTTGGGCCTTGTACCCATTTTGTACTCCAGTAGCTTCGATGTATACGTAAAATCCACCTGAAGGTATAATAATAATAATAATAATAATGATAATAACCATAATGTTAATAAAAAATCTTGTGTCTATTACTCATTTAGAACACTAAATTTATTTTGGCATTTATGATGTTCGTGTTTTACGAAAAAAAGCATGATGTTGATCATAAGCGAGATAAGTTTCAGGACTCCTTCATGTATTAAACATAGCGCTAACCCATGATGCAATGGTAACCAAAACATACTACATATATTTTGTATTTGAATATCAGTGAACATGGTGTCTCACCTCCCGTCGTATGGTCTCGGGTTGGTCCGGTGTTCCGGGAAGATGTGGTACCTTTTTGTCTTGTCCAGTCGAAATTGTCGGTCGTAGGTTCCTGTTTCCATTGGCATAAATTTGCCTCAAAATCGCAGTCCAATTGGCTCTGGGCCGTAGCCCCTGGATTATAAAGGAAAAAATGTCAGTCAAAATGATATTATTGTTGTATTTGCTTACTTTTTTGTGATTATTTAGAAATCACAAACCATACATACATATATATATACAGGGGTGTGAGTCACAAAGTGCACAAAAAGTGTCCGTAAACGTGGACAAGTCTACGTACGGTTGATATCCAGTAAATGTGAAAGTTGACCAGCTCAAAAATGTGGACCTTATTCGTCGTTTATATTTAACATAAGGTTGATTTTTTTTAATTAAAGATAAAAATCTATGAAGTTTGATTAACTAAGTGACTTATTCTGTGCATATATAACGGCGTAGCAAGGGGAGTTGAGATAAAGTAAATCTCGGGTAGTTGCATAAGGAAAAAAATTAATGTCATTTAACAAAGTAGTGCCGACTGAATTAAAATAATTACAGAATAAAGTGGCATTTACACTTAATTCTAGTTTCTATTTTTTTTTTTTTTTGGGGGGGGGTGTTACCCTATACCAGGGCGACTGATAAATAAACAGTCATTTTGGTCTGTCGCCTCAGCCAAAAATGTAGGCCTACACAATAATAACTGCGGCCCTGGTAGAGGGTAGGGGGGATGGTTACAGTTGTGTTGTATTTTGAACCCTGTCCATTTGGTGCCCCCTTACTCTGCAAGCCTTGGTAATCACATACTTTGTTTATCATGATAAGTATAAACAAAGGTCGAAACTCATCTTGATATCGTGACAGCGGAAAGATACTCCCTTTATTTTTGGTTTTTAATCACTAATTTGCTTTAATTATCTCCAATTTGTTGGATATTAGAATTTCGTACAAGTATCAATTAATCTTGAGTGGAACTCGTAAAGTGTTAGAACGAGAGTGATAGCTTAACGTATGCTCTTACAGATTTTAAGTGTCAGCACTGTTCTCGATATGAGGTGCCTTGATTAGACACACCTCTTGACTCGTCCTAAAATAATGGTTACTAAAATGACAAGGGACCTTACCACCTTTACTATGTGGTGATAAACAAATCTGTTTTAGCGAGGTGGGGTGGTCTCCCCTTTTCATTAACGCATAACACTTTTTTTTTTTTAGCAAAATACGAAAACGCACATATCTTGCATAACACGGGGAACTAGACCCAAAATTTTAATCACAAGTATAAAATCGCAGTGAATACATTTATAAAATTCAGTTGACTATGACAGCACACTGTGGAGGTCTTTGATCAGGTCAATAATGAAATCACAGATGAAAAAAAAAACGCTAAAAATTTTGGCAAAATACTCGTAATGGTTTAACAAAACAAACGCTAGTTGGTGGAGACAGAACAACATTAGAAGGGATACTGCCATTTTATCTTACAGACCTGATGTACCCATCTTCCTGGGTAGCAATGCAAAATGACACGAGGATAAATAATATATGTTAAGGTAAACCCCCTTCCTATGGATTGAGAACGAAGCAACGTATTTCCAGATATCTGAAGTCTTTATATGAAAATCCAAAAGATAAAGGGAATCAAATTGTGAAATATTTAACAGACAAATTCAATTTAAAGTGTCTCTTTCCTTCTGTCAGTTGCGTTCTCATTGGACTTCATTGCATAAGAAAAAGGGGGCGTATCTACTCTGATGTCTGCCGTAATACCTGAAGATGTCCCAGAGAAAGATAATGCTTTGGTAAACATATCAGCAATGCTAAGGTCATGTATCGAATGCATGTAATCAATAATGGATACCTCAGATTATATACAGGGAGTGGACAAAGATGGCTAGTTAGTTTCGAAAATGTCCAAAAAATGAATATATAATACCTTGGGGCTCGAACATGGAGTTCGAATCTTATTTGATAAAACTTCTTAGAATAATCACTCCACTGGCATGTTCTTGGACTTCAAATGGATAGTCTTATACTTTCATACCAGCAGATCAGGCACACTTAAGGCATGAATGTCTAGACTAATCCATTCGACACCCGACATTCACTAGATGTGAAGAAACCCATTTGCCTTATAAAAAAATGAGCGTCAAGCTGGGTCTGGTGTTAGTTCAAGGCAGAAGGGGCGAATAGTTGCCTTAATCATTCTGTTGAAACGAACTTTCGTTAAAGCTTCCTACAAACTCTTTTCCATTTTTTTCCTCCCTACGTGTCCTTTTCCATTTCTTCAAAAGACTGTTATTCGATGTATTTTGATTGGTATTAGATTTTTCTTGTGTCCAGAGCTATCCATCTATCTCCATTCTAAGATCCCTTACATTGTTATTTTGAATCTCGGTGTTTCAAAAACTTGTAAATATGCTATGACCAGGTTAACTAACGCTATCCAATCACAGTACTCGCGTTATTTTGATTGTAAAAATTCTCCTCTCGTTAAACCTCAAGTCAACATTTAGAAAAGATATCTTTAATAGTATCTGATTAATTGAACGATTGAACTTGCTAAATATTTCATTTATGTATGAAACAATATCAATATGTTCACAAGAGATGTAGTAATTGAATCAACCGAACGACCTAATATGCGTGGAGACTAATGTTATTAATGATTAAGAAATGAAGTGAAAGGGATTCCTGCTTGTTTGGAATATCAACGCACCCCATTGATTAAAATGATAAAATAAATTAATGTATAATCTAAGACCAACAATAACACAAACATCAACAAGACTAATAAACATGTTAAGTTGTCTTTCAGATTAGTCAATAACATCCATATATTTTTTGATAACTCTGAAGTAATAATGAATTTATATCGCTTCTGTCACGCCCTCAATATTTTTTATCTCTTACCTGCCAAGAGGACCACTATAAAAACGAGCTTTTCTGTCATGAAGTCTTTTTTCTCATAAACACCTTCATTGGAAAAAACATAAAACACAGTCTTCCACAGAAGAGAGAGAAGAAAAGACTGTCCGGCTTGCCCTGCGTTGGGAGTCTTAAGCCTGCGTTATCAAAGTGGTACCAAGTGTCACAGGGATGAGACACTTGATTACGGTCACGTGGTGTTCTGTTTCAGGAAAATTGTCTCTGGGCATGGGCTGAGCATGCTTTTGTTTGTTACTGAATAACTTGACATATCTGAAATAGAAATGGGGGGGGGGGAGAGGGGGGTTAGGGGGTGATGTAAGACACGTGAGGAAATTGTGTGATGTGGGACAACCTAGACATTAACAGTGACGTTTTTATTGTAAAACGTGTTTCTACCAGGAGTGTCTAGTATTGGAAGGGGGAGGGGATACGTTTTCCGGGTGCCCCTACTATTTATAGTGTCCTCGTGGCCTGCGAGGCTAGTCTCTAGTTCGATTTAAAACCCGGGTCGAGTCAAAGACCACCTTCCTGAGAAAACAAAAACGGAGGTTGTGTATCTGGCCATGAAAACATTGGTAATGAACAATTGACCTGTAAACTTGATACCCCTCGTTTTCGGCAACTTTGGTTGTATGCTCACCAAAAAGATGACCGAGAAGTCCAATGACCACTTATCATAATGTTAAAACGCATATTAAAATGTCTAGCTTTAAAATAAGATTTATGGGGATAAAGTAAATGTATAAGTGGGAATAATTTCGTTTTAATTGATAGAAACTGTTGTTTTTTTATGTTATATTATGTTATTTTTCTGTTTTTGCTCTCCTCGTGTATACACAAACTCTAAGATGGGACGGCCTGACACTGGTGTCAGAGTACTGATAACCCGAAGCCACGAAGGGAGGCGTCAGTTGTTAATTATTACCCAAACCAATAGACGTTTTAAGTACAAAAATGTTCATTCGTTTCTTCTGACTGGTATTAGTTGATCAAGATTATTCATATGACCCACTGCTGCTTTCTTCAACCTTTGTTTCGTAAAATCGCTTTAACTTATTTCTCATTTCTTAGAATAGTAAGTTAGCTGATTACAAAAAAGGTTTCCGAGTACCGAGGAAATGTACATGCTTAGTCCAGTGATATTTGTTAATGCAGTGGCGGATTTAGGGGGGATGGTCAGGGAGGTTCTGACCCCCCCCCCTTCGATTTCTGAGAAAAATCACACCAATAGTCTCTTCTTGAAATTAGAATTTTGATTAGCTGAATCATAGTTTTAAACAATACCAAATGGCACCGTTCGCCCTCTAAAATACCAACTTTTTTTAGGGCACTTCAGCGGGCCCCGAACCCAACGCCAAAGGGGGGAGTTGATTTCGCATCCGCGGACCCCCTTCAAATAATTCTGGATCCGCTCCTGAAATGCACCCTTGACATGGATTTGCTGGTGGACGTTGATAAAGTTGGCTATATGTTGTAAAGGGCCTAACATTACATGTATGTTGGAACCCAGCTCTGCCGCACTTATTCCACATTTGATACAAAATATGTACTCAAACTGTAAATTTCGGAGTCAAGTGTCACCTCGCACCCCCAAGATTTACATGCACTGCGTTTTTCTTTATTTGAAATAAAGTTGAATACAAAATGTCCTTTTAGCATTTTTTCACAGACCTGTCTACTGGGTTTTGTTTTCAAAACAAACCATAAGCTATGTCATAAAAACCTGGGGATGCAGGTGCAATCGCCCAGTTATATGGTTATTTTCATATGATGCTGGTAGTATAACAAAATTCAAAGTTTTCTACCTCTGAAAGTAACTTTGTTGAAGGGATTTTCAAATCTATTTTCATAGCCTTGCAACAGTGAAAAGGATGCCTACAGGGCATCAAACTAAAGTTAACACTTTCGCAGTAATGTCTAAACGTAGTCCATTTTACTAAATCGTCTACCAAAAGCAGTCTGCGGCATAAGCCAGTGGTATACGCCCGTTGCAGGTACTGGTACATTAATCAGAATGTGTGAATTTAGTGGTCCAACATGGTGGTTAGATTTTTTCTATAAGGTTTTCTAATAGCTTTTGATTAATTTTTTTCTGAATTGTAACTGTTACATCATCATCATTATTCTAAAAACACATCAAGGTTTTGTTATTAATAATATCAATTCTATCCAATCCAGTCTTATTAAAATTTTTATTAGTAGTGAATCCTGAATCGAACCAGTAGATTTTAGGTAAGTGGTCGTTTGAATGCCTAGTAATTGTAATTTAGTAAGTTGAAAACTTTATGCTTCAGAATGCAAAAGAAAAATTACAAAAAATACCTGTTGCAACCTATTTTAGTAATAGAGATGTATGATAAATTATTTTAGGTATTTTAAAGTGGTATCATGTGTTTAAATGTAAAACAATTACAATGTAACTCACATTGACGTTAAATATTACGGTTATTTTCGTATGATGCCAGTATTGTACCAAAATTTTTATAAATTAAAGTTTAATAAACATGCTCTGGATATTGAAAAATATAAATGACAAAATGAATAATTATATTTGGTTTATTGATATAGGTTCTACATCTAAAAGTAACTTTATTAAAGAAATACTAAAATCTATTTTCACAGGCTTGTGGTTGAATGACGTAGCCTATGTGTAGCACTGGCAGGGGCGGATTGAGGCCGTCTTCTGGGTCTTCTGGAAGACGGTCAGATTTTCAAGTTATCATTGATGGGTGTCTAATTTTTCTGTCAAAAGAAGGTCAAAAATTGAGGATGGATCAACAATGATAATTTTGAAGACTGTGAGATAATATCTTTGGATCCGCCCACGCGTACAGTGCATCAAACTAAAGCTAATCTTTTCGCCACGGAGCAAGTTGCCCCTCCCCTCCTAAAGATTTTGAAATATGCGAGAGGCCTCTCCATGCCTCTCTCTCTCTCTCTCTCTCTTTGTCACATGACTGTCATGTGACAGTTTTGAGCATTTCAAAATGGCGATTGTATTAGACAAGGTTCTAACACTGCTTGTTTCGAGAATAGCAAGCGAAGCAACAGATAAATTGTTCAAATCAGGAGGAGATAAAAACAAGGCAGATCTTGTTGGTGAAATTAAAGCATTAAAAGATGCTTTTGATGCGGAGAAAAACAGGTAATGCTTAAATAAACTGTCATGAACACATGATCATGGGTCTGGGGGAAAACGCGCTACTTTTATGATTAAGACGAGCCTAACCGCCAGTACCGGATATTTGTTTGTAACGTTCAAGGGTAATTAGGACTTAGCCTTTGCGGCATGCATAAACAGTAGTCGATCTACCACACCTGGGTCTTTTGTTTTTGACAACTGTTCATTCGTCATCGAAGTGCTTGTTCAAAACTACAGTACAGACTGATATCTACAGTACTACTATTACCAGTGGCTTCATTAGTAACGTTCCCACACACACAAAATCTAACACGGTTTTCTGTCTATGCGTATATATCCTGAAAATGGTTAGCCTCACTGACGAGAACAATGGTCGTTTCTCACCCCTCTTTAGGGTTACCCCTGCATGGGTCAACCTAGCATGAAATTTCATGCTTCTCTAAGATCAACCATGGAATTGTATACTAGTCAAATCTCTACCATGGTAGGCCCTATATTGAACTGCATCATGTACATGTACACTCACATGTTCGTACAGGGCATGTGTCTTTTGGGCTTGGGCTTTGGAGTTTAACGGCCTCAGATATGTACATTGTACCTGCAACATTGAATGATATTTTCATAGTGGTAGAGATACGATATTCAACATCGTTTTAAAAGTAAAAGTAAATAATGACAATCTCATAGATATAACATGTGCATTTTAGTTGTAATTTCTATTACAAGTAAAGATTGTGGCATTTTCACTGCTTTACTAAACATTTACTACACTATATAAAAATATCACACAAGTCAGTACTGCAGTGTAAGTCAAATCAACTCAGATTTACTATAACTGGTACATATATGCTAAACATTATTTTTTGCACAGAAACATATTTGGCACACATATATAATAAATGTTTGATACCACACCTTATATGCAATCAAAATAAAATGCCATGGCAATTTGTTTTCCTTTCTTCAGGCCACTAGAAGTATCCTTAAAATTCCAGCCAGAATTGAAGGAGATTGCAGAAGACATGTCTGGAAAAATGAAAGAAGAGCTACACAGGACATTTGATACTTTCACATCAGCTGTTGAAAGAACAGTATCTAGGGAAATCAGACATACCACTAGTGCCTTATCTGAACATCTCAATAGAATTATTGTGGCACTGACATCACTACTTGCTTCTGTGGAGGAGAAACTAGCAGCAGCAGAGGAGGCAAAACAAACTGTGCAGAAACTGGGAAGCCTGTTCACTACTTTGAAAATTTTCATTAGGCTTCTTACTGTTTGCTCATTTTTGCTGACATTCTTTTACATCTATAAAAGAACAGACAGTGCAGCTTCTGATTCATCTGGTTCAATGTGGATTAGTTATGGAAGATGTAGACAATTGATTGCACTGACTGTGATGGTCATGGCTTGCCTATCCCCTCTGTGGATCTTTGACCTGAAATTTAATTTTGTAAAGATGATGATCCCAGAATAATTATAAGTATTGATAAATGAAGAGACTAAAAGTGTCAAAGCTTTTTGTTCTTTGGCTTATTAGAGCTATTTATTTTCTTCTTTGTGTGATAAAGACCATTAATACAAGGTGTAAACATAATTTTAAGATTCATAGCACTGAGGAGTTACAGTAAAGTGTCAAATGACAGATGTTTATTTACATAAATTAATGACTGGAACTGTTTAAATCCAACAAAAATAACTAAGTTCAAATTTCATTATTTTGTAATCACATAGTTAGTAAATATATGTCCGATAATATCATTAAAAATACTTGCAAATAAGGTTGCAATGAATACTAAATTTAAATGATAGAGATTGGACTCATTTGCACTCATCGTAAACACTGCAGTTATATATTGAGAAAATCTGTTAAACAATTACATGAAAGAAAAAAATGCAGGTAAAAACAAATTTATTTGTATATTTTCCAAATTTATTTACATCCTTGGAGTGTCAGGTTTGGAGAAGTGAATGCAGTGTATTGTGTAAATATCTAATTAATTCGCCAAAGATATGTATTTAAAATGTAAACGTTGTGTCCTCTGATGAAGTGCGCCCATAAAACAACAGTTTGACTGAGCATGTATCAAGTGAATGTATATTGGGTCCCTGGTCTAAGCAATAAGGTGACTGATTTCTTACATAACAGAAGTGGTTATCTCCCTTCTCTCCCTCCCCCCCCCCCCCCCCCCCCCGACTTCAGGGTGCCCGTTTTATCGCCCCGTCATTCATATTACAACTGGTAATACCAGTAGTTAACTCGGTGTCTCATCTATGGCATTTTCTTTGGTATCACAGGGGTCTCTAGTATAGTATAGTATACGCAGTAAAGTACAATGCAGTACAGTACAGTACAGTATTCTATACATACAAAATCGAAAAAGAGGCGATTCAACAATTTTCAACTAGCAGCCCCTGTGGTCAGAGAGTACTTATTTGGCACGTCGCTCATTACACCACTGATTCATTTCACGACACAATGGAAGACGGTTTCCATCAGTTCTGATCGATCTCTCAGATTAAGATGATTCAGTGTCGCAATGACTCCGTAATTAGGAACAAAAGCAGCAGATTATCTCTTGAACTTGTTTAAAAATCACTACCAAATGAGAAATCTGATATTTGACCTCTTTTAAAATATTGAGCATAGACCTTTATTAACGATCCACACCAGTGCTCCGTAAATAGTTAACGAATTGAAATAAATGAATAGAAAACCACAGCAACATTTGTATTTCTGAGAGATAATGTTTAATTGTCATATAAAAACAAAAATTACCTATGATGTCGATTTAACGCATCATGTGCAACGCAATGGATTCACAAAACAACTCGAAAAATAAATTGATATCACGTCAGGCATGTTTTTCATTTCAACACGAGTCAATATGTGGCATTTGTAACCCACATGTGACGGCAAAATTTAGCAGCATTGTCTCCACAGAGCATGCATATACCACAGGAAACCTATGTAATCCTTCAGTTGTCCCGCCCTACGCCATAGATAATGTATCGTGCCTTCCTTTTATTATAATTCATAATCACACGGTCTGCTGAGATAGTTTGTTCTTATTAAGCCCTCACAATATAACTGGAAACACGACTTGTCATTGACTCATACCAGGACCCCCGCGTTCTACTGCTGATGTCAATTTTTCGATCGTTGGCACAAACAATGTCAATATTTCATTAGGATTTCAATGTAACTCGAGCCCCAGTCAATATTGTAGACGTTGCTTTTTATCGGGTTGCAATTACTGCAAGTCATAATTTTTACTGCAATCAATGTCACTTTGGTAACTCCATTATTCGAAATCCTAAAGAAGAAAGTTGTTTGTTTTTGGTGGGATATATGTGTTAAAGATTCTTTTCTGTTTACAGCTGCCATAGAGAATTCAACATATAAGTTGTGCTGTGAATCATTACGCGATCAAACAATTACGTGCAAGAGTTATTAATGTTTTGCATGCAACAGTAATCAATTAACACGAGTAAGGTGTATACAGGGCGAGGTAGCAATGTCATAAAATTTTCAACAGCAGGACATCACCCTTTTTTTGGGACTGTAGGAAGTAAGTGAGGAAAAATCTTATTTTTCTATTAACACACTAACTCATTAAAGTCGGTATCCTCTTTACATAGACATCTGTGTCAATCTTTTTGGTGAAATATAATACAACTGCGGCTGCAACTTAGCGTTCTGTCTAAAATCAGCTTGGTATGGAACAGGGTCGATGAAATAGTCTTAATACCGACCAAATAATCATGAAATTTAAATGCATGTGCATACCAAGCATGATGATATTAATAAAATTTAAAAATCCGTTTTTCAGGGCGTTACCATGTCTAACAGCGCAACAGAGTGCCCCAGCAATGGCATAGAGAGTCACTCTATTAGCCATGGCTCTCAAATGTTAGCAGAAAAAATTGCTGATCACATGGAAGAAATTAACTCTCCTCGATCTATTGAAGACATGAATGAAAGTTTCAACAGGTGTTTATCATCTCCTAATCCTTATGACGCGGTGAAATTCAAAAATGCATTATTCAAAGCTGCAAGCTTGAATGACTGTGACAGATTAGAGGCTCTCGTAGAGCTAATCAAAAGAAAAGATATCCCGATTACTGACTTTTACAGAGAAGGCAATGAGACCCCGCTCCATCATGCTGCGACTTTCAGCAATCACTCTGTCATGGAAATCCTGGTGACAGAATATCCCGATATGGTTCATGAGCAAAGAAATAAAGGTGCACTTTACGCCGGTCAAACTGCCTTACACATAGCAGTAGCGAGGAGAGATCTCTATGCAGTGAAAATGCTCTTGTCCCGTGTTTCTCTGGCAACTTCGGACCAAAACTGTGTTTCAGGCGTGGATGACAAGAAGAATACAAATAAAACTAAAAAGATAAGAAATAAAGAAACGCTGCTGCATGCCAAAGTTGTAGGGGATGAATTTGTTGGTACTTGCATGGAGGCAGAGCTTGTCCTTGCAATAGCAGCATGGAACGCCGACTTGCAGATGGTACGAGAACTGTTAAATCAAGGCGCTCTACCCTACAAACGGGACAGTAAAGGGAGGACTGTTTTTCATACACTTGTGTATCTCGCTTCTATGGAAGGGCCAAAAAGTTCTGGCGTCGTTTCAGAATCTACACAGAATGCAAAGATGTCCAGTCACAAATCTAACATTATAAAGGAGACGTTACGCCTTATCTCATCATTGGAAAAAACAAAAACAGCACACGAGAAGTTAGGCAAAGTCACAGATAGTATTTCAGACTCTTTGTGTGAAGCGGGTCCCTCTATTGAGATCACTGACAAAATCAAAGAAGCTTTGAGAGAACTTTCATCTGTTGGACATTATACTGCTTCAAAAACTAAAGTTATCAAAGAAAATCTCTCAACACTTGCTTCAATGGAACAAGTTACCACACCCGTTGAAAATGACAACCGTGACAGAATAAAAGAGACGTTTCAGGAATTGCTTGACAAAACAGACATCTCAGACATGCCACAAGTCTTTGCCTCAGATCCGCAGAAAAAGCGAGCTTACATCCAAGCTTACTTGTTATCTCTACGCGACGCCCAAGGATTGACTCCCTTAACACTTGCAGCAAAGCTCGGAGTACATGGTTTATTTGAGCATATCATCAATTTAGAAAACACATACAAATTTTTGGATGATACCGATGGGGTGAATGACATTTACCTTTATGATGTCACTGACATAGATAGTGCAGTTCGTTTCAATGACAGGACATCAGCACTGGAGAGAATTCCATTTGATAAACCCGAAGAGGCTTTCATTTTCATGGAACTGTCGCCCATTCGCGAAATGGTGTCAGCGAAGTGGAAGGAGTACAGGAAATATTATTTTTTGTGGGGATTCTTTCACTTATTGGCCATGGTAGCGATAACATTATGCTGTTGTTTTAGACCTCTTGATCTAGAACCCCAGTCTGTTTTGAATCCTAATGTTTCTAGATCAATTGGCCAGGCGGCTTTTTCACATCTGACACAAATGTATTCAAAACCCATTGACATATTGAGAGCAACTTTTGAGATCAGTTTTGGCACATCGTGCTTTTTTATCCTTTCGTTCGAAGTGATATACGAAACCATTATCCACAAACACTTTCCATTCATCAACAGAATTCTTGGAAACGGTACCTATAGGCTCACTTACATAGCGTTTACTTTTTCTACCGTTCTTACATTTTTGTTCAGGCTGTTTGCATATCACTACGAAGAAATTCCTATGGTGGCAATGTTAGTCTCGGGCTGGTACTTTACACTTTTCTTCACAAGGGGCTTTAAAAAGTTTAGTTTCTTTACCGTCATGATCCAGAAAGTCTTTTTTGGGGATCTGTTTCGTTTCTCAGTAGTGTTCATTGTTTTGCTATCGGCGTTTTCATCAGCTATGTTTGTTAGTTTCCAGAATGTTCCAGAAAAAATCCCCGAAGAGTTTGCAGACTATCTCAGCACCATATTTACTTTGTTTAAACTTGCGCTTGGTTTGGCCGATATTGAAGTTCTCAGTCAAACAAGAAGGCCATGGCTGACAATTGTATTGTTTCTACTTTTTGTTGTTTTGGCATACATTTTACTCGTAAATATGCTAATCGCTCTTCTTTCCGAAACTTGTTCTGTAGTTGCAAAAAACAAAACAGCCCAGTGGAAACTGCAGAGATTATCTATCACTCTCCTCATCGAAAGAAGACTTCCAAAAAGATTGCGAAAATCATGCGGGACCGAAAAGTATTTGAAGGTCTTTCGAAATCCCCCTGGTGATGGGCAAATGGATGACCTTGTGCATCAGTCGGCTGCTCTTGCTATGTCCTTCCTTCGTATACCAGCCATGCAGAAACGTATATTTCAGAGAGTGAAAGCGGCCCCTAGCTCATCATCCAACTCGTACGTTACGGCCTTGAACAGAATCACTACAGACTGGTTGAATAGAATACATGCAACGAATTTTACTTCTCGAGAGACAAACAATATGAATAAGAAGACCACTGCAAGAAAACATGTCAAAGCAAATGGGGTGCTGAAGAAAGCTATAAATCAAGTTCTACCAAGCTACGGCAATGTTTCAACTTCGTCACCAACAGAAAATTGTTTAAAAACTAACAACCTGACAGTTTCCGTAAACCCGACTGCTATGGCAATATCCATGCGAGATAACATGCTGTCCACAATTCCAAAACTTAACGATAGCCTTGAAATTGCTAGTGTAGACAAAAACATAGGTGAAAATCTGAAAAAAGGACAACAAACCAAACAAGAGCATTTTCAAAAGGACCTGCATGAGACTGGCGAGAGAAGACGTCGGGCGAAGAAAAAAAAGAGCAAACAAAAAAACCAAAGAAATGAAACTAAAGTACCAGCATCAACATCGTTTAAGCCCACAGAAAACGTTAATGAGGTGGGTTCATCTCCACAAAATCCATCTGAAAACAATCTGGCCACAATCAATGCAGAACAAGAGCGGTCAGAAAATGATGATGACCAGTGCGCCAAAGAATATGGAGAGGAGGAAAGTCAATACCATGCCAATGAACTTAAACAACAGATCAATCAGAAAAGCACTCTGACATTTCCGTGTGAAACCAATGCAGTTCCGAAAGATGTCAAATCAAGACATAAAGGAAAGCATTTAGAATTAAGAAGCCAAATGGTGTCGACTCTTCCACAGGTTGAAAGCACTCTTCCTTTTGACCAATCTGTGACAAATACTGAATTTTGGTTGAAAGACAGTCAGCAGTATTCAGAAAATGAAAAAGCATCTTTGCTGTCTGAAAATAACACAGATCAAAGTGCCATGGAAAATTAACATAGGAAGAGAAGACTTCCTCTCTTAGGAATGAGAAAACTATGCACTAAAAAACTTTGATTGTCGAATTTGTAACATGACACTTTTTTGTAACAGCTTTGAGTGATATGGTGGATACAGGGAAATTACCAATAGGGAATGTAATAATGACCCATGTATCAAAGAAGAACGACAAAATTACTTGAAATTACAATTTGAATTGTTTTTTCGAGGAGGGGGAAGAGCACCCTGAGTGTAAGAGGTCACTGAATGGGCTGAAAACTCAACTCTATTCTCAACATGCCTCTAACCCACTGAGTGATGTCCCCAGTGACTTCTGAAAGCCTGGGTAGGTGAGAGATGCTTTAACCCTTTCCCTCCTGTCCTAGAACTGCCAGTCGCATGATGTAATCAAGAAACGTCTAAATAAATCGCTTTTATTTATATATATATTTTTTGCAATGGACTCACTCCCTTCATATCTTTTTTATTTAAAAAAAAATTATATAAAAACATGGCAAGAGGATGAAACAGTACCATTACCAAGCTGAAATGATTAACATTTTTGCCAAATATAACATTTTGATTTGTTTTCTCCGAAACTCATAAAATTAAATACAGACATTCAATAGTTGAGAAACTATATACCCAAAAGGTACACAAATCTTGAGCTTTGGGACTTTATCATTATAGCAAATTAAAAAATAAAAAAAAAAAAAATTTCCTGGAAATGTCAAAATTTGTCCCTTTATCAACAGAGATACAATAGGCAAACAGTTCACAAAAATGCGATCTCTAACACCATTTTTTAGTTGAGTTTCTAATTTTAGTCACTAGGCATACAAGCCAGTAAGGAAGCTGATGAATAGCCATGATTGTAAATGGAAAAATCAGATTTATTGATTGTAATTTTTTCTTAAGGGTTTTGAGCAGAGTATACTTTAGTGATTAAAAAAAACTTCTGAAATTGAAGTGATTTTTTCTTTGCTAATGCACATTTTATGATTAAGACTTTTGGTTTCTATGAAAAACTTACTCAAGATTAAATGTACTTTAATAAAAATTTTTTCTATGGTATTCATGAAAGGCAATAGGCAATATAATTTTGTATGTCAAAGTCTTTTGAATAACTAAAAGTTAAGCAATTCACATGGCAGCAAAGATGTTTTCAAAACGAGTAAAGAAGCTGAATACCTTTTTCGAATTAGAAAAATGATGTTATCTAGAATGTTCACCCTAAAATTAATAGAGTGCAAAAACTCATGAAAAGAAAAGGAAATTTGCTTTTCATACACCAGTAAATGGTTTTAATGGCAAATTATGTTTTGAAGGTCTTCTTATATCTTATACAAGGAATTTCAATATATGTTTTGGGATTTTTATTGCAATAAAATGCTAACAAACATTTTTTTTAAGGTTGTTACTTTCAACGTCAGTCAAAAGAAATAAGCAACACGATCACTAACAGTAACAATTTGTGTTTTGTTATTCAAATCTAACTCACGCCACATCGTTTTTAAAGTAGAAAAAAATAAATAAAAAATCTAACCTGTTCAAATATAATTTTAAAATGGAAAAGAAAACGCACAAAGTGAAATGAGGCTGTCTCTACCACAGGGAATGTTGAGATTTCCATGTCCTTAAATACTCAAATTCAAGGCAGGCGCGTAGGAAGCAGATTTTTTTTTTTTTTTTTTGGGGGGGGGGTTAACCATTTTGAAAGAAAATAATAATTAGAGATGGAGGGGGGAAGATAATGACAAAAATATGTGCCCATTGTATATTGCCTGGTTTAGCGATAACATAGTGAAATGACTTAGATGTGTACTTATTTGCCTGAAACAGTAGAATGACTTAAATACCCATTAGCCCCCTGCTTCCTGCGCCAAGGACTGACGTGTTTGGAAAAAGTGGGTCCTTTACTTATGTAAACACATAAAGAGTGATGGTTGGCAAATGCTAAAACATCGTTTACAACACCAAGAAAAACAATCTTTCTTACATCAAATTCCCATATACAATCCTCTAAGCACGAAAGCCTATAGTACTCTAAACATTTACACATCTAGCTGGTAAATCAACAGTTCCCATGACAACAAAAATATCTGCAATCTATAGGATACTCCTACAAAAACCTAACATCATAATAAACATTAATTTCATGAAAAACAATTAACTTGTGATTAATTGTACTTTTAAAAATTGACCAAATTATTAAAATTAATTTATATAACTATATGCTTTGTAGACTTGACATAAATTTTAGCTTATCAATAAAATGTCTTAATCAGGCAAATGTTTGCTGTGTTACAGCTAGTTGCAGTGCTCTCTCTAAATTATGTAAGAACTCAAAACATAAATTTAAGCAATTTAAGTAAATCTGTTTCTTATTTATCACAGTCCAATTCAGGCATCAATTCAAGAACAATATTTGATATTGAAATTATTTGTTATCCTCTTGCTTCTCACAGTCTTCATACATATACATGCTGTTTGCGATGCAAACTTCTCTTTGGTGCACCCTTACCCTAGAATTAAATTAATCCTTAATTTGAATACCTTGAATTTAATACAACAAAAATATCATTGGCGTTTCTTAAAAACAGCTTTGAAATATTTGGATAGAAAGTATGTGCTATGGTTGAGCTGATGTTACATTATGGTTTTATATTGCAATAATTTTGAGGACTGGATTATCAAAATAGAAAGAGATACATTTTTTTTAATTATTCTAAACTTTAAAGTAAACATAGCTATAAAGCCAGCTTTTATTTACTTTTGGACCTTTTGGTTTGGGTATAAGCTTTTAATTAATTTTGGACTTTCTCATTTGTAGTCATGAATTAAGACAACTTTTCTTTTTCTATTTCCCTTTGCAATTTTATAAAAATACCACTATGAGTAACTCTACCAACCATTGTTTCAGATGTTAACTGTCATAAAGAATCAAAATTTGAAAAAAAGGCAGGAAATACCTTGGCACTTTGATGGAGAATACTAGTTAATCTGTTTCGTGTCCTACTTGTGTCCAGCTTCCTTGTTCTTATGTCTGTACCTGTAAAAAATGAGACAAAATAAGGCCTAATTTTCACATTTAAACTTTTATATTACCCAATTCTTTATTTTAGGACAATGTAAAATATGTTGTGTCAGCATATCTATAACCTATAATAATAGCTAACTGGTATATAACCAGTCTTGGTATTATATTTCACTGCTATTCCTCTACTCATAAACTTAAAATCACTTTTTTGTTATATATATATATATATATATATATATATAATTTGTTGTTTGTTTATTAATATGAAAACAAAAAATAACCCTTAAATAATGAAATAGAATATACATTTGTCAAATCAATAAAAATCAATATAGAAACATTTGCATTGCAACATGATATTGATTATTTCTGTTCAAAGTCCATTTTTTGTAAAATCGAAGTTATACCCATTTTTTCTTCTTTTCCACTTTGTGATATCTTTACTTGTTTTTCTCTGAGGCTATGAATCTCTTCTGACATTCTACTTATGCAGTTTAATACATTTTGCCTTGCCTTAATCTAGAAAAAAAGTTTATGATTAGAGTTCAATATTATACTTTCTACTACATTTCATTCTCTTCCATAACCAAGATAGTAAAACATGCTCATATTTTATCTTTTCCCCAAAAAATCAAAGCTCATAACATAACATGTAACATGATAAAATACACTAATATGCTCTTAAATGATTTTATAAATGAGGCATTTCAACGCATGATGATATATTAGATGATCAACCAGAACTACTCTTATGTCTGTTTATCATCCCTAACACCAATAAAGGTTGAAAACAGGCATAGACTAATTGAATCAAGATAAAAATTTTTAGTAGAATTAAACACATTGAGTCATTTACTGGACAGCTCAATAAAAAAATTACCATACCAATGATTAGTGGAATTGGTCTAGACAAGATCGATCACAACTGCACAAGTAAAAAAAAGATGAATCATGCAGATCTTTCTTAACAATTCATTTTTTCAAAGATCATGCTGAAATTTGAAGTAAAGAAGTATTTTCTATTAATGTATGTACATGCATCCTTGTAACAAATATGCTTTTCCCCCTTATATTAGAGTTGACTGATATACCAAACCTGTTTTTGCAAGGCAATTCTACTCTTCCGTGTTGTGCTTGACATAATTTCACATCTTTTCTTGGCCTCTGGAGAAAGTTTGAATGTGTACATATCTGGATTCAAATTATTTTTTTGTGAGGATGTCTTCTTATCTGCTTTGGCTGTGGCACAATCTAAGCCCACAGCTGAAGTAATTAAAGTCGACTTAAGAATATTCTCTTTGTGTGAAACAACGACAGTGGGATCCACCAGCTCATCCCTAATGCTACTTGCCTCCAGATCTGGTGCAGTTTTAGCCTCCTGAGGAGAATGTTGGTATGAATCTTCTGGTAACTTTTGCGTAACATGAACAGTGTCATATGTTGGGCAGCTTTTGCATGTCCAACTTGCCTTGTTTTTTGTGTTGGTTTTGTTAGTTTTCTTAGTTCTCTGCTGTGTGTCACCCAAACGTGGTAAAGCTGGTGAGGTGTCCAATTCATCTAATATACATGGATTATGAGAAGTAGCCACATTAATTACATTGTGGCTGCTTTTTCTTGGAACTTTAAAGCCTGTTTTTGGTGTTTTAGGCATCTCCAAAGGACTGCTTTTATTTGGACCTATCAAGAAAAAACACTATACTAGTTGCATGTACACATACATGTAATAGAAATGAGTTTCAGTATTCATCAATCTACCAGTATGGAATAGACCTATTTGTCTAGTTGTAGAAAGAGAAAATACTCAGGAAACCGTCCAATCATTTCATCATTTCACATAATAACTTGATGTTAAATAAAATTTTAATGAAATACTGTGCAGCCATAATGAAGTGTCTTCAACACCATCGTCATCACTACCAGGCATATAATACAGTGTTCACTAGCCCGTATTATTATTATTATTACTATCACATTAGCCTCTACCACTCCTATTCGCGTTTTAAATATCAACAGATGAGCAAGCTGAGTAAATATTAAAATAATTACAAATGTAAATGGGGGTGCGCTTTATTATTACAAAACAGGTACATGTAGTGCGTGTGCGTCAGCACAACTGCGACAATGCCCACCTGAGTTATAACCGGCAATCTGACAGGAAACAATTTACAGCTGCAGCAACACACACAAAAGGTGCCTATTTCATTATTTTTAACTTGATATGACGGACACTTTGCATTTATACAACTTATCAACTCATTATATCAATCAGTCTGGCATACTTCCGTCTTCATAAGAAATTATTGTGAATACGCGAAGCTTCACATTTGCAGCCGACAGACCACAGACGTCAATTGCATGGTCGCTTAAAGTAATGTAAATATGTGCAAATGAAATTATTACCAGATAAGTATTATATCTTTTGACTGTTAAATTTTGTTTTAAAATCATATTATTATTTAGAAGTTATTTATATATGTTTGTCACTTTGCTTTGATAAATGTATTGTTTTTAATTATGATGTAAGCGTCTTTAGCCTCTGTCTGGAAGTAGTCAAGACTGAAGAGCAACGATGACAGCGAGCAGTCAGCTGTTCGTCAAAGAATGGCTAGTGTTGTAATAGTTGGAGGTGGGATTGCGGGTATCGCCGCCGCAGACTTGCTTATTAGATCGGGATTTCATGATGTAAAGATATTGGAAGCAACAGACAGAACAGGAGGGAGAATTTGGAGCGTTGATGTTGGTGAGTCTAACCTTGGCATGGGGTGAACCCTTTCCTTGGAGTTCGGATAAAGAACGAGTTACAGCATTGCACTTTCCTTACACGTACTATGATTGAAGGATGGTTAAGGAATTAATAGAATGTAATGAGAGGTGTCAATATGTCTATTTAGTTTTTTTGCCCTCTTGAAGACGACATTTTTCATATAAGGCCTGTGAGGTTGTCAAACTGTCATCGTCAGCTGTTCAAGTAAAAATTAACTGTCTCAGATTCCTATCAGGGTCAGATGATGCCAAGGTGAAGTATACCTCTTTCACTGCAGAACCAAAATGAAAGCGATTTCTTATAAAATTTGAACTCTGTGAATGTTATGAATTACAGGAGTTACTATCATAAATGATTGGTATTTACATTTTGTGTTTGACGTCACTCACATGCCTCCTGTTTCACAGGCATGCTAGATTAGTTCAGGCGACCAAAGTACAAAAGTTCTTTTTGAAGTGAAACCACTATTAGGACCCTGTGTGCCGTTTGAAGAATGTTAAGATATAAAAATATTACTTGTGAAATATATTTATGATGTAAATTTAGCTTTATCATTTCACTCATAACTGTTAAAGATACAAAAAAAAAAAAAAAAAGAAAAAGAAAAAAAAAAAGGGATTGACATATGAAGGAACAATTTACAATTTAAGTTTCTTTTTTCTTTCTTTT